ATCATGAAGGACCCCGATTTTAAAAATGGGTAAAGAAGTTCTGAAAGCCTGGGCAACATAGTGAGACATTTTCTTTGAAAAAATATACTAGCCAGGCATGGTTGGTCATGCACCTGTAGTTCCAGCTACTTGGGAGACTGAGGCAGGAGGATTACTTGAGCCCAGGAAGTCAAAATTGTAATCAGCCATGATTGTACCACTGCACTCCAGCCTGGGCAATAGAGTGAGACCTTGTTTCTGAAAAAAAAGAAAGAAAGAAAGAAGGTTCTGGAGATGCGTGGTAGTGATGATTCATACTAATGTGAATGTACTTAATGCCACAGAAGCATACACTTAAAAATGGTTACTGTTCTGTGTGTTTTACTACATAAACACAAAATGGTGAGTCACTTGCTCTGTTTGTCTGATGTGTCATTCCTGATGGGCTACTTAAGACTCATTGGTTGCAAGTTACAGAACCAATGAGAACTAGTTTGAACAAGAAAAGGTAAATTGTAAGGATCCTGGGTTATATCTCAGAACCCCAGGGCAGGAAGGCTAAGAGGTCTCTGGAAGGACTAGAATTAGGAACTGGAAGGCCACTTGGACTCTTCCGTGTCTTGGTTTTTTCTGTGATTTGACTTCGTCTTCATTCTCTCTGCAGCCTGGTTTCTCTCTTCCTGGCCCCCGGGTGGAAAATGCTTTCTGCCTTCTCCTCTCCATAACTCTAAGTTTACTCAACATGTTACACTCCCATGTTGAGAAGAACTCACGCTCTCTTACTCCCAACCGCATATTCCCAGGAAAGTGAGGCTGATTGGCATGTCCTGGGTCAGCTGGCCTCCCTGGGGGTACAAACATGGTGGATTCTGAGAGAGGAGTGGCTGGGCATGAACATCAAACAGTGCCTTAATATTTGAGAATATTCATCACACTCGACCAGATCATGTTCTTCTCTGAAGCTCTTGGCACAGAGTTCCATTCGGTTTCACAAGCATAAGAAATACACAGTGATATGAATTGCATGGTTGGTAGACAAGTCAGGATCCCTTCCTCTCCTCCTGTATGGCCAAATTCTCCATTTTCACGCAACAGGAGATGTGGGTGGCCTTTCTGTAGTGTTTTGTCTCCAGCCCAGTCCTCCATCAGGCTCCAGCTCTGAAGGGAGCACAATACATGCTCTGTGTTTGACCACAAGTGCTCGATAAGACCCTGGCCCACAGCCCAACTGCTTGCCCCACTTTCTCTGGGTCCCACAGACCCACAAGGTACTGGAAGACTTTCTTGTGGTAAAGGGAGCCCCTTCCGTTTTGCCTTTGTCATATGCGACTCCCTGTTTGTCAGTTTTTGGCCAATGAGATAATCTCTTCAGCTCCCTCAAAGGGCTTTGTTTTCTAACCCTCCACAGGTCCCTGCTCTCTGGTGCATCCTTCAATGCCTCTCACTTGCCAGAAGATTGCAGGGATGCGTTTATCCAGAGTCAAGTCTAACGGGTATAAATTTGCTTCACAACATTCAGGTATGAGAAATGTCATAGTTCTCCTTTTTAAAAAAATTTAATCCATCCGACTGTGAGCACCTGCCTGCCAACTGATGGGAAGCCCAGTGTAGCCCCATCCCTGGAGCAGGCCTCCATCTCCGTGGGACGAGTCTGTGAGGAACCTGATCCTAGGCCCAGGCAAACTGCCAGCCGTGCAGTGGCTCCTCAGCCCCTGCTGCCCTGGCTCACAAGGAAACTCCCCAAGGGCCTCAAAGTCCCTGGGGCACTGCAGAGGGTATATGCAGGTCTCTGCCTCTGTGGCACTCTTCCTTCCCTAGGTCCCCTGTCTCTAGAGTCCCTGTCTCCCCTTTGGACAGGTCATACCCACCCTTAATCTTTAGCCTCACCTCATGCCTCTGCAACGTTTGAGACTGGGCTTTAAAAAACATTTATTAATTTTCCCATGAGGCAAGTGAAGCTCCTAATAACACGACATAGCACAGTGGATGAGGGAGGAGAGGTAGGTACTATTTATTCCCCTTGTTGTCCTTGAAAACCAGACACCACTGACTTCTTCATCAGCAGCTGCCACAACCACTGATTTGTAACACCTCCCAATATCCCACCCCAGCAAGGAGAGGAAGGCATCCACCCAGACCCCATCATGGTCTTGGAAGAGGAAGACCCCACCACAGTGCCTCATCCCCAGAAGTCGTGCTGACAGTAGCAGTATCAGGGGTAAGACCCCCTTGCTATGCAGCTTCCTATGGGAAATGGTGAGCACAGGAATTTTTTAACAAACAGAATGCAATGTTAACTAAGTCATTTTATTTTTAAAAATTTATTGTGGTAAGAAGACTTAACATAAGATCTACCCCCCCAAAATTTTTAAGTGTACAATACATTATTGTTAAACGCTTTTTTTTTTTTGAGACAGAATCTCGCTGTCACCCAGGCTGGAGCACAGTGGTGCGACCTCCGCTCACTGCAAACTGTGCCTCCCAGGTTCAGGCAATTCTCCTGCCTCAGCCTGCCAAGTAGCTATGATTATAGGCACACACCACCACGCCCAGCTAACTTTTTTTATATTTTTAGTAGAGACGGGGTTTCACCATGTTGGCCAGGCTGGTTTCAAACTCCTGACCTCATATGATCCACCTGCCTCGGCCTCTCAAAGTGTTAGGATTACAGGTGTGAGCCACCGCACCCGGCCGGCCAATTTATAAAATACATTATTTAACACATAAATAAATGAGTTTACCCTCGGTACAGCCTTCCCCAGGAGATAAAAGACTTGAATTTTCAGTTTCCATTGCAACCTCAAGTTCTAACTCCTCTACATTGTAAGCCCATAGAGGTCGGCATCCCCTGTCTTAATCATTCTTGTCCTCCTCACACCCAGGCATGACAGGCCTCCATAATAATTTGACGAATTAATCTCTTTCAATTCCTGGTTCTTCATTTAAGCCCTCACACGAAGATAACAGATAAAATCTTCGCCTGACATTTCCTTCTGGACCTGCAAAGAGAAAGCACTTGTAATATTTTGCATCTGAAATGAGGCTGAAGTTAAACAACTGCCAGGACGGTTGTGTAAACAAATAGGCTAGGACCGTCTATTAGCCCGCAGGGACTGGGAATTCAGTCCTGAATCACCCTGCTGTGCCTGGACAGGTTGGGAACTGAGGCCAGCATCCATTGATTCATCAGCACTTCCTCCAAGAGTGAGACCCACCATTTGAACTTTCACTCTCCAAACATTTATTATAGAGACCTAGCAACATTTTTACTTAAAATTTGCTATGTGATGCAGGTTCAAGAATTGGTAGCTTAAAAAAGAGAAGAAAAAAATGTGCTATGTAAATCAAAACACTCTATTACAATCTGCTGTCCAGCAACCTTCCAGGTCCTAGTGGAAGGGTAGAGGATGTGTGACAGGCACATTTCAGCTCTCCCCCTGGTAGAAGCGCCTCTCATGTCTATGTTGTTCTGCCATATTGGGAAGATGTCTTGTAAGAAAGTTGAAAAGCCTATGAATAAAGCTGTTGAGCCTAAGAGGCCTCAACAACCCCCACACATTAGACGAAGAAAAGTTGAGGCCAGGTGTGGTGACTCATGCCTGTAATCCCAGCACTTTGGGAAGCCAAGGTGGGTGGATCACCTGAGGTCAGGAGTTCGAGACCAGCCCAACCAACCTGGTGAAACCCCGTCTCTACTAAAAATACAAAAATAAGCTGAGCATGGTGGCAGGCGCCTATAATCCCAGCTGCTCAGGAGGCTGAGGCAGGAGAATCGCTTGAACCCGGGAGGCAGAGTTTGCAGTTAGCAGAGATTGCGCCATTGCACTCCAGCCTGGGCAACAAGAGTGACACTCCATCACACACACACACACACACACACACACACACACACACACGAAAGGAAGGAAGGAAGGAAGGAAGGAAAGAAGGGAAAAGTAATCAAGTGTATTGTGAGAGGCAAAATCATATGTGATATGAACATAGGCATGCACATGTCCCGTGCACGTGCATGTCCAATTCTTTCTGGGCACTCTATGCATTAACTGTGGATTCTTAATAAGTGATGTCACTATTTTTATTTTTTTGTGATGGAGAAGTAAAATGTAGTTCATATCTAATAACTCAATCAAATATGATAGTATCTTGAACACAAAGGTACCCACTGATGATTTCACCCAATGTTAAATAATTAGGTAATTGTTCAATGCTTTATATCAGTGATTCTTAGACCTCAGCAAGCATCAGAATCTCTTGGAGGTTTTGCCAAAACTCAGATTGCTGAACCCCATCTCAGAGTCTGCTTTAGTAGGTTTAGAGTGGGGTCTGAGAATTTGCTTCTTTTTTTTTTTTTTGAGAAAAGGTCTGGCTCCGTTGCCCATGCTGGAGTGCAGTGGTGAGATCTTGGTTCACTGCAACCTCTGCCTCCCAGGTTCCAGCTCCAGCCATCCTCCCACCTAAACCTCCCGAGTAGCTGGGACCACAGGCATGTGCCACCATGCCTGGCTAACTTTTTGGTACTTTTTGTAAAGATGAAGTTTCACCACGTTGCCCAAGCTGATCTCGAACTCCTGAGCTCAAATGATCCCCCCACCTTGGCCTCCCAAAGTGCTGGGATTACAAGTGTGAGCCACCATACCCTCCCTTGATAATTTGCATTTTTTACAAGTTCCCAAGTGATACTAATGCTGCTAGTCCAGGTTCATACTCTGGGAAACACTGATTTCTATTGTTCAGAGCTCCTTGATGGATGTTTACATAAATGTTTGAGTGTCTTAGTGATTAAGAGGATATTGATTGAGGTTTTGGGATAGGTTGGCAATGCATTATCATTTTCTCCATTTTATTTATTTTTCATTTTTTATTTTTTAAAATTTTAATTTATACAGATATATGTTGTCCAGGCTGGTCTCAAACTCCTGTCCTCAAGCAGTTCTTCCACCTTGGCCTCCCAAAGTGCTGGGTTTTATGGGCTAGGTGTGAGCCACCACACCCCGCCCTGTTTCTCTATTTTAATAAAATATAGACACTTGTTATCCTAAAATTTTCCTTTTTTTTTTTGCCATGATCTTCATGAACACACTAAAGTGTTCTATGCAGCATATTTTTAGGAGCAGATTCGGTTCAGATAATCTCTTATGTCTGTGCTGCCAACTTGAGGCTGCCTGAGAGTTTGTTGGGAGCTCCAAACTCCCCAGTCACCACAGAAGCCCCCTTCTTACCCAGCAGGCCCACACTCGGGATCTGAACTCTCTGATAGATGGGCCATGCTGGAGAGACAGCAGCAGCCTAAAAGGGGTTCACAGCCCTCCAAGAAAAAGGGAGAAAAGATGCTGCATTTGACTGCAACACTAAAGAGCCCTTTCATTGCTCATGAAAAGAGTTTGGAGAATATTGGCCAGGATCCCAGAGCTAGGGGATCCAGGGCTATGGGCAAGTTATTAAGTGCCCTGGAAAGGCCCCATTGGGCAATTTAGGGAATCCCTGGGCTGGTATTGGAAGGCATTGATGGAAGAGATTGAATGGCCACCTGCCCCTCTACTGGGGCCTGAGGAGGGGTCAGTGCCCCGGCCTGCACAGGGGCTGTAGACTGCTGCTGTTGGGGCCAATACCAGGCCAGGGAAAAGGAAAGAAAGAGAAAAATGAAGAATGAGAGAGCTATTTTCAACTTTAAGGATACCAAATGGGGTTTTAAACATTATGGACAAATGACGCAGGGTAGGGAGCTTTATTTGCTCAAGGAGTCAGGAATCCTAGCCTCTCTTACCCAGTATCATTTTTCAGAATTCACCACTGGCTTTTTGAGTCAGGTCTGGAAACTTAAGCTTCTCCTTGGCATGAAATCGGAAGACATGCACAGCGGATTTTCCCATTCTGTGAGATGAGCTGGACAGAGGCTCCAGGAAGTGAGATCTGGGGCATTCCACCTTTGCTGTGTCTCCTTGGAGACTACAATATCGTTCATTCTGAGGTTCCATTCTTACATGTAGTGGTTCCTGGTCTGCCCATTTGGAAAAGGGGACTAGGAATACCTGTCCTACCCACGTCATGAGGGTGTTATGGGGATCCATACACTCTGAAAGGTGTGTGACTGAATTATTGGAATATTGATGAAGCTGGAAGTCCTTGTGTGTCGAGATGATGTGTAAGGAGTTCTTCGTTCCATGAGGTGGGAGTTTGTCTGATTTTTCATTGATATCCCCAGCTATTAGAACAATGATTGACATATACTAGGCACTCAAAAAAAGTCTGTTGAATGAATACATGTGGAAAAAGAAAAGAAACGAAGAATTATAGAATGTAACAACTGGATAGATCTTTAGAAATCATGTCAAATCTCAATTTATAAGTCCCAGCAAGGTTTATGCTCCTCTCCAAGCTATTACAGCCTCAAGGGTCAACAAGTGAACAGACCTCCCAGATGGAGCTGACCAAAGCCTTCTTGCATTCAGTTTCTCTGACTGCTTTGCAGTGACATGAAACTAATTTTGAAAAGAAAAAAACCAAAAACGTAAGCTCTAATGATTGATTCTGTTTTTTCTTTTGGCAAGGGCAAAAAAAAAAAAAAAAAAAAATTCCATTCCAGCTCTGGGCATAACATGCCTGGTCCTATTACACTTTTAAAAAGTAAAAAGAGAAGAAAACAAACAAGCAAACAAAATCCAACACTTGGAAACTTGCTTGGCATCCAGTGTACTCATTCCTGGTTCATGGAGCAGTCAGAAAACACATGTCATCCTTGAATCCCTTCTCAGGCACAACTAAAGCCACAGTGTAAGCTTCGACAGTCTAGCTTCCCAAAGGCTCTTCCACTTCTCAGACCCACCAGCAGCTCCTCTCTCTGTCAGAGCAATCTGATGGACAATCATCAATCAGGAAGGACTTCAGGCCCCTTTACTACAGAGGCTTGCCATGGTCACCCAGCTGGCGAGTGACGGCCTGGACCCTCCCTATTTGCCAGGTCCAAGGACATTTAATAGAAAGGACACTGCTCACCACTGACCCTGGACACCTCTCAGACCACTGGGCCTGTCACGTGGCGGGTGTGAGTGGGGAAACCCAGCAGGATGTGGGCTAACGGCAGGGGAAGTTTCATGTCTTCCTCTGCTGCCTCTCACTACTGTAGCACAGGAGAGCCATGTCTGTTCATGTTGCCGGTCTAGATGCTCTCTGGCCTGTCCTGAACTTTCTCCGGCTCTTTCTTCAGCATTTCATGAGCTTTTATGATGAAGCCTCTGTGTATGTTTGTGTGAGCAGCAGAAAAGGTGCAGAAAGATGTTTGTTAAACTGTTAGCAGTGGGATTCGAGTTAGGCAGGTGGAGATGATTAACTTTTCCTTACTTTATCTCTGTGTTGCTTGAACTTGTTATAACCAGCATGTATTACACATGCAACTTTTAAAAATCCAATAAAATTAAAAAGCAAGTCGCAAAAGGAGACACAGTATGATATCATGCCCATAAAATCCAAAATCCAAAACTCCCATAAACAATATGTCGTATTGTTATAGGGTATCCTATGTATTGTTTAATGGGGTCTAAACCTAGGGGCCTAGTAAAAGCCTAAATCCTGCTGGAAGACACCACACTGGATGGGAAGAGCTTGTAGAGAAAGGAGGCAGAGTGATGTTGAGGAAGGCAACTTCAACTGGACCCATGGCGTTTTGTTTCCTAAGAAAACAAAAACCTCGAAGCAAATATGGTGAAAAGCTAATGTTCACTGGAGCGGACGATGGGTCTTTCATGACTGTTACGTTATTCTCCATACTTGTCCATTTGTTTGAAATATTTCAGAAACTGAATGAACTATAACAAAGGGGAGATAATTGAATTCATCCTTATTTGTAATTTATCTTGCATGACACCCCATATGTACCCCAGGTATAAGAAAGGAAAAAAAAAAGAGGGAGGAGAAAGGAAAAATCAGAGTTTTGGAGAGCTGGTTTGCTTTTCTGATCTTCCTTATTCTTCCACTGGGTTTTTTTCAGCAAATAAACATGGAAAAGAGGCAAAGTTAATGTCCCCTGGAGAAATGGACGGATGATTGGATGGATGGACAGACGGACAGGTGGATAACCTCATGAGCCAACAGCTGCCAGGTTTTCAGAGCAGGTAGGAATCTGCCTTCATCATGGAGGCTGCGACTGGGACTGCTCACTGCCCACAGCTCACCACCTCTGGGTGTGATATGATGCATTCATGAAACTGGGCTCTTATGCCTTAGCCTGTAAGGCTGCAAGTGCCTCCTGTGCGAATGAGTAGCTAGAACACAAAGAGCACCTACGGCCCATTCCACCCCTGTGCCACTGTGGGGAATATTCAGGGGTCTTTCCCCAGCCCCAGGTTGAGACCTGCAGCTATGATGGTGGGGACCCAAGAGGGACAGTGGCTCCCCGCTGCTCTTGAGGGCCAGGAACTAATAATAAACCATGCAGCCATTTCATAGGAACCACATCAATTTTTTTCTCAAAAAACGAAAAAGTTCCTGAGAAATGGTGGACAGCAGAGGGGTTCTTCATTGTACCTTTTTTCTTGGGGCGTGTAACCTGGACCTGGGGAGGTGAGGGTCTGGCCAGGGTCACAGCTAAGGACATGTGTCTAGGCTCAGACAGCAGAGCAGTGCTCGCCCACTAGCCAGCTCAGGTGGGCTCTAGAAGTCAGTCTGGTGGAAAAATGCCCAGCCCACACAGGTGACAGCTCTTACTCCAGGTGCTGTCCGCTTATCAGACGTTATTTAATCCTCGCAGCAGTCTATGGGGTAGTTGAGTAGTGTGGCTGGAATATCAGGGCTGTGTAGGGATGCCTTAGGAATGAACCTGAAGAGGTCAGTTGGGACTGGGCTGGGGAGGACCAGAATGCCATGCCAAGGATCCCTCCTCTGGGTGAGGCGGAGTGATCAGGGGCTTTTGGTAGGGAAGTAATGTGACCTGACTTATTTTTTTGAGAATAGATTGGAGGGGCAAGAGCAGAGCAGAGGCTGAGAGAGATGATGGGGCATGAGGGATGGTGGCCGGCACTAATGCTGGGGCCTTGGGCGAGGACAGGGAGACAGAAGCAGCATGGGGATCACTAGAGAAGAGAGCCAGAGAGGAGGCAGAAGCCCCAAAGGAGGAAGAAACCATGAACAGGAGTCTTGCTTAGGCTCTGCCCCCAACCAGCTTTGGAACCTTGGGCAAGTCATGTCATCCCTCATGGACTCAGTTTTCACTGCTGTAAAATGATGGGGCTGAATGCATTCTCTACCATGGTAAGAACGATGGGCCTTTTGCACGTTTCTTTTGCTCCAGGGGTGGGGAAAGCCTGAACCATGGCATAGTGTCTGGCACTGCCAGGAGCACCAGAGGAACTGCCAAAGTGGCAGGGAGTGGCTGGCACACGGGTTCAGTTGGCATTGCAGCAAGCAGCATGGCAACGCTAAGGCAAAGAGCAGGCCAAGGCTGCCGGGGCTTGCCAGCGTGGGCAGGATGTTGGAGTCACTGTGGCAGGGCTCCAGCAGACACGGGCAAGGCCAGTCTGTGAACCGCATCCCTTCTTTACATAATCATCCTTACAGCAACATGTTTTCTCATTTCAGTTAAGCAGTGCCAGGCCTCTGATCGAATGGCTTTTGTAATCCTTGTTGTCAAGTTTAAGCTTGAGCAAATAGTAAGGCAGCCTCAGAGTCACTTCAGCCTTCTGACTCAGTGTCCCTGTGTGCAACGGATGGGGTGGGATCTTCTAAACATCCCTTCTGACCCTAACATGCTAGGAGCCTTCTGTTAGAATTCCACCTTCGAAATCACACCCCGCTGGGGGCACCCCCTGCCTCTGATTGTGATCAAAGCTCACTGCAGCCTCAAACTCCTGGGCCCAAGTGAACCTCCTCTCTCAGCCTCCTGAGTAGCTGGGACCACAGGCGTGTACCACCACACCCAGCTAATTAAAAAAAAATTTTTTTTGTAAAGACGGTCTCACTATCTTGCCCAGGATGGTCTTGAATTCCTGGCCTCAAGCAAGCCTCCCACCTCAGACTCCCAAAGTGCTGGGATTACAGGTGTGAGCCACCACACCCAGCCTTTATACATTTTGAAATACACTTTTCAGCTGTAGAGCCATGATATGTGATTTAAATTCTCTGTGCCTGTTTCCTTGGGCCTGGCAGAGAAAGTGTGACTAGCCTACTGTGGCTGTACACCTGGGGATGATAATGCTACCTACTTTGCTATTAGGAATTCTAAGTGAGAAAATATGAGTGAAACCTTTAGCACAGAACCAGACACACTGTATGAATAGACAGCTATTATTGTAATTATGCATTCAGCCATCAGAACTTACTGCACATCGAGAGCTGTGCAAGGCTCAGGGAATAGGGTACTAACAAGTTAGGCTGACGAGCAAGTGTCCTGTCCTCACCGAGTTGCTGTCCGAAGGGGAGGCAGACCAGTCAAACAGTTTCCCTTAACTAGTGCACGTGCCCTCTGCTAGGGAAGCAAGAGGGGCTGCAGGAGCCCACAGGAAGGGCACCCACCCCAGAGCCATGAGCGGCAGGCCCCTGCAGCTGCCCTCTGCTGTCTGGATGCCTTCCCCTGGCCTGGAAAGAGCTTTGCCCAGATGACTCCATGACTTGCTCATTCATGTTATTTAGGACTCTGCTCAGTCATCACCTCCACAAGGAGCCTTCTCCAATTTTTCTGTCTAAAACAATCTCCCCCCACCCCACCACCTTTATCATTCCATTCCATGCCCTCATGCTGCTTTATTCTCTTGATAGTACTGATCTTTTCTACCAGCAGATTGTGGATCTGTTTTGAAAAATATGTTTATTGACCATTTACTCACCACAAAATAAGCTTGGTGAAAGCAGGGGCTTTACCTATTTTGTATTCCTTATTGCATCCCCAGTGCCCCCCAGAACAATGCCTGGGCCTCAGTGAGTCATCAATGCCTGTCTCTGGTGAATGAAGTGACCACTAAGCTGGATCCTGTAGGGTGCATAGAGGCTGGCCAGGGAAAGGGTCAGGGAGAGAATCTTTCAGGCAGAGGGAGCAGCACATACAAAGCCAGGGGAAGAGAGCAGAACGTGATGGGAGGTAGTTCTGTATGACAGGCATGTTCATTAACAGAGCAGGAGGAGCAGGCGGCGAGAGGAGGAGTTTTCTGCTGAATCATGATGTGTGTCTGACCCGGTGGAAGGAGCCAGGGCAGGAAGGATGATTGGAGACGAAAGTCTCAGACTGTGCGTGGTTCTAAGAAGGTTTTGGCCAGGCAGATGGGGAGTCCCTGAGCCAAAGCTGGCCCTCAGAGGAATTCCCCATCAGGCAGAAGCTAGTGCCATGCTATGCTCAGCCTTTGGCTGGAATTAGCTCAGAGGACATGTGGCTTTGGAGGGATGCAGTGAGGGATCCCAAAGGGCAGGAGCTGTGGCTGTCACTTGACTGCTCCCTGCAGCAGGGGACCTCGATGGTGCAATTCCATGACTGCCCAACAAGCAGAGAGGGCAAGGAAGGAAGTGGTGAGAGTTACGTCTGGAGAGCTAAACATGGACCAGATCACCCAGGGTACTTCAGGCCCTGTTAAAGAGTTGGATTTTATCATGAGGGCAATGAGATGTCAGGGTGTGGTTTTGTTCAGGGGAAACAGAATGATTGGATTGGATTTGCATGTCAGAAGGATCACTTTGGCAAGAAAATGGAAACCGAAACCTTATAAAAATTCTAGATTAGTAATCCAGGCTCTTTTTTTTTTTTGGTTTTCATTCTCACTGTGAAAGCAGTTTGAGAAATAGACAAAGGTGGCCTCCTTGTGGAAGCCAAACCTCACCTTTATTCCTGTATAAACAGTTGGCAAATATGCCTTTGTCGTGAGGGCCAAATGGGTTTCCAAGCACTCCTTGCCCAATGGTTCCCTCCTATCTAGGCCTGGGTCAGCCACGCAGGCATCCATCTGGGTCTCCTCTGGAGAATCACTGCCTTCCTGTGGCCAGGATGAGGAGGGGAAGAAGAGGCTGAGGCCCCGGCACTTACCATGGTCTTTCCATTGCTGAGCTCCACCTAATGGAGAAACAAGGACACCTGTCACCCCAGGTGAGTTGGCCATAAGCGTTAATCCTAGAAGCACAAGGATGGGAGATCTATGTTCTCCACATTTGTAGGTGAGAGATAATGGTGGCCCGGTCAGGTTGGTGGCATTGGAGGGAGGAGGACAGAAAGAAGAATTGACAAGACTTAGTAATTGACTGGATGGTGTGGGTGATGGTTCTGTATGCTCAAAGAAAGGTCAAGAATGAGACTCAGGTGTCTGCCTCGCACGACAATGGTGGGCCATGCAATTCTATTTCTAGTCTACCTCCAGTCCATAAGGTACCTTTGTGAGAGTTAGAAACAGGGCCCGCTGAGCAGGGGTAGCTATTGCCAAGGTGACAGCCTATGAGTGACATGGGCTGGATTCTGTCTCCCACACTCCTCCTGGCTAGAGGCCTCTGTGCCGGCTACAACCTGTATGGCCACACATTGTGGACCAGACACCACTGACTGAAATAGGGAGCAAGGGGCCAATTGGTGAGCTGAATTTTAACCATATTAGGTTTGAGGTGTCTGAAGACAATATGAAATTGAGTCTGTTTCTTATTACTATTGAGGTGAAATTCACATAACATAAAATTAACCATTTTATTTTATTTTATTTTATTTTATAGACAGAGTCTTACTCTGTCACCTAGACTGGAGTACAGCCACTGCTTGATCTCTGCTCACTGCAACCTCCACCTCCCAGGTTTAAGCGATTCTCCTGCCTCAGCCTCCTGAGTAGCTGGGATTACAGGTGCCGCCACCACACTTGGGTAATTTTTGTATGTTTAGTAGAGATGGGGTTTTGCCATGTTGGCCAAGCTGGTCTCAAACTCCTGACCTCAAGTGATCAGCCTGCCTCAGCCTCCCAAAGTGCTGGGACTATGGATGTGAGCCACCGTGCCCGGTCAAAATTAGCCATTTTAAAGCGTACAGTGGCATTCAGTACATTCACAGTGTTGTGCAGCCATCACTTCTCTCTGGTTCCAAAACGTTTGATCATCTGCTAAAAAGATTCCATATACAATAAGCAGTCACTTCCCATTCCCCCTCCCCTCAGCCCCAGGCAACCACTAATCTGCTGTCTTTATGAATTTACCTGTACTGAATATTTCATATAAATGGAATCCTGGCTGGGCGTGGTGGGTCACACCTGTAATCCCAGCACTTAGGGAGGTTGAAGCGGGAGGATCACTTAACCTTAGGAGTTCAAGCAAGCCCTTGTCTCTACTAAAATTCTATATATATATATATATATATAGAGAGAGAGAGAGAGAGAGAGAGAGAGAGAAAATAGAAAATAAATGGAATCCTACAGTGTGTGACCTTTTGTGCTTGGTGTCTCTAACTTAGCATTTGTTTGTTTATTTCTTTTTAAGACTGGGGAAAAGATGGGAAGAAGCCAGTAGAGAAGGAAGATGTTGAAAACACAGGAGGGAAAGAGGAGGTGAGCAATAGGATGCATCCCTGAGAATGTGCTGGAGGGGGTGGCATGGGAGAAGCCCAGGACGGACTGCCTTTACACCTGTGAGGGCCGCCTCACACGGAGGAAGCAGGGCGATGAGGCAGATGCTGACAAGAGCCTCATGATAGGTTTGGTGGCAGCTGAGGGGATTTCCACCTAATGATTTCTGTTTTTTTTTCTGTGAAATAAGAGGTTGACCATCTGCTGAGAGGACAGTAGTGGTATTGCAGGTTTGAAGAAAATGATAATTGGAAATAGCTGCTGGGGAGAACGGGCTAAATCTTGCTGGGGAGATAGAGGAGGTTTTCCAGGCAATATTGAGAGCCAAGTGAGGCTGGGGTCAGTGAATTCACAGTAACGTAAATCTGTGGTGTGATCTAGTTTTATCTGCAGATATCAGCGGCCTGGACGTGAGTGAGGTGTACATGTCACATTTGGAGCCATGGCAACCATCCTGTGACCTGGAGGACAGAAGTCTAAAGGTAAAGCCAAAACACTGAGGATGGCGGAGCAGAGGATGGTGAGGGTCCCTCAGAATGTTCTGTGCACAGTAGTGAGGATGACTCTGTTCGGAAGTCAGAACTCACTGCTCCTCTCCTCAAAACCCACTAGTGGCTCCCTCCCTCTCCACGAATAAAATTCCAAATCCGTAAAGCCCCATGTGATCTGACTCCCCGCTGCCTCTGTGATCTCATCCTTTTACTTTCCCCCTCCCTCCCTCCAAGCCAACCTCTGGCTTCCTTGCTGATCCTTGAATGTTCCAGCACACTCCAGCCTCATGGCCTCTGCCCTGGCTGTTCTGCTTCACCTGGGCTGCTCTCAGCCCGGAGTGATCTCAGCCCAGACACCTGGCCTGTTCACCCACTTGCTTCAGCTCCCTGTGTAAATGTCACCACCTTGGAGAGGCATTCTCTGACCACCCTCTTTCTAATGCACCCCCTTCTTAACCATTCTATTTCCTTTTCCTGCCTTATTGTTTTTCCGAGTACATATTAGCCCTTCACACTTTAAGGACTTGTTTATTCTCACACACACACTCTTACACTTCCTCATGCTCACATGCACTCTCACACACACACAGTCGCACTCATATGCACTCACTCACGCTCCCTGATACATGCACACGCTCACACTGTCTCACTCACATGCTCACCCACACTCACACACGCACAAACGTGAACTTCCAGAGAGCAGCACCCTGGTCCATTTCCCCGACACCTAGAGCAGCACCTGGCATCTAATAGGTATTCAACAAATCTTTACTGAATTAATTAATGAATTAAAAAGCCATTCAAGGTGTGGTGGCTCAGGCCTTGAATCCCAGCACTTTGGGAGGCCAAGGCAAGCACATCACCTGAGGTCAGGAGTCACCAACATGGTGAAACCCCATCTCTACTAAAAATACAAAATTAGCTGGCGTGGTGGTGCATGCCTGTAATCCCAGCTACTAGAGAGACTGAGGCAGGAGAATTGCTTGAACCCAGGACGCGGAGTTTGCAGTGAACCGAGATTGCGCCACTGCACCACAACCTGGGCAACAAGAGTGAAACTCCGTCTCAAAAAAATACAAAAATAAAAATAAAAAGCCAGGGTCCTTGGTGATGTTATTGAGTCACTGAACTGACACTGGAGCCACCCAGGCCCAAACTTTTTGTCATGGGAGAGAGTTGTCAACTGCCAGGTCCTGGGAGAAAGCAGCCAAGACCGAAGCAGGGGGCAAGGCATGAACACCCGGGATGGCACCCCTGGCACTCTGGTCAGAGCCCGCCCACTTCACCCATGGCCTGGCCCAGCTGGCCTGTCCCAGCCCTGCAGAGAAACTGAAACCAGAAATCTAGCTCTGAACCCTGGCCCCTTGCCTGTATGACAGCCCATGTGCTTGGTTCCTGCAAGAGACAAATTTCACACTTCTCCAACCAGGACAAAGAACGGCCCACCTGACTAGGTCTATCCTTAGAGGTGGTCACCACTGACCTTACCAGGGGCAATCTCATGTGGCTA